CTCTCTCTCTCTCTCTCTCTCTCTCTCTCTGTATAGGGCAGCGTGGGAAGGTGGTGCACAGTGGCGGTTAGTGGGCAGGGAATGAGTGGGTGGAGGGTGGCGACATGGAGGCAGCAATGGTAAAGGCTGGGTTGTGATAACAATTGTCGATGCCGGTGTCGGTGCGAATACCCTGACAAGGGTATCCGCCCTAGCTTTTGCAAATGACAGGAAGTAAGTCTAAAAATCCAAGTGTACCGTGCGAGTCGCGGCTAAGTCTGCTTGATTACATAGGCGGGATGGTTGACCAGAGTAGAGCGTGAGTGGGCGCGCAGTCTGAGGCGCGCGTGTGATTTTTCCGGTTGATTAAGCGGCAGGCGTAGTTGGCCGGCCTGAAATTTTTGTTATTAGAAATAAAACGTTGTTCTTATTCGAGACCGTAGACCTTTGGAAGGCCAACAGAAGAGGTTCGCATGTGTTGTGGCCACGGCATAGTAGGTCCTAGCCGGCGGGGTGCCTAGTGGTGGTGCGTTGGCTGCAAATGGAGATATGGCCCAAGGCGCTTGGGGCACCTCCAGGCACTGCTTTCTATAGGATCCCGCGCGTACCAGTACCAGGCTTCGGCTTAGCCCTACAGGTTACGGTACTGGACTAACACGGCGACGGTGCGGGGATCGAGGCCAGCCGGCGGCAGCACGGGTGCGATGGAGCAGTAAAGGAGTTGAAGGGTTGAGGGTCCAGCGGGACTATCCACCTTGGTTTTGCTAAGGGGAGTCCGAACGCGGGCCCGTTTATTTCAGAGTTTTATTGTTTTCTAGTTTTATTTTTATTTTCGCCTTGTTTGGGGCGGGGCCCGCGACCGTACCGATATACAGATCGGTCGGGGGTCTGGCTGCGGGATACTGTGGGGACCCCCGGCTGCGTGATACTGTGGGGAGGCGCGTAGTACCACTAAGCGGGTCATCCGCCGGGATCCCGCGGGATGGCGAAGTAGAATTGGCCAAGCCCGGGCAAAGGGTCTGTGCACACGACCATGATGGGTCTCTCCTGCGGCAGGCCCGGCCCAAAGGCTGGGTGGCAGCAGTATTGTGGGGCACTGCCCCGATAGAGTCCTTCGGGACATCCGTTAAAATTAGGAACGATACAGAGAAGATTAGTACGGCCCGCGCACAGGATGACTGGCACCCAGTAAGCTGCGCTGGTCTGCACCTAGCTATAGGAGGGGCCAGGGGAAACACAGAGGAGAGTGTAGTGGGGGCAGTATCAGCTAAGCAGGCTGGTCGTCGACATCCGGGCATAGGGCCGAAAGACTAGGCGAATCGTCCTAATAGCTGGCTTTTTCCAAGGATCACCCCGAGCTGGCTGGAGCAACGGAGAAGGCCGCTGCGCTGAGGCACTGACGGACCGAGTGAAGAAAGTAGAAAGACAACGGGCAGGAAGGAGGTGCAGTTGTTGCTGCTCGGTGGTCGTCAAAGATTGTGGGGTCGGGCGTTGTGTGGGGCAGCGCTAATCGGGAAGCAGCTGAGGTCAACGAAGGGCGAGCAGAGAGCGCAGCCGGGCAAGCGGAGAGAGCGCAGCCAGGCAAGCAGCGAGCACAGCAGGGCAAGTAGGGATCCTAGCTGGGGCAGCGCGGCAGAGGTTAGGCGGGGCTGCAGGAGCCAACGGCGGGCGCTGAAAGGGGGAAGGAACCCGGACGGGTTAGTACGAGGGATGCATTCAGAGTGAGGGGAGAGAAAGAGCATCGGGCAGCTACGGAGAAGAGGGAAAGAACTGAGTGAACCTGGGCAGGATCCGCGCCAGGGTGCAGTCGAAAATAGGGGAAGTGGCTATGGTCTGTTGCACCCGATCCTTTGACGGAACCAGGCCGGGACATACAGGAGATAGGAGTTTTGAAGAGTGGCGAGTTAGAATATGCGATCAGATTAATGGCTATGGTCTGTTGCACCCGATCCTTGACGGAACCAGGCCGCTACATACAGGAGATAGGAGTTTTGAAGAGTGGCGAGTTAGAATACGCGATCAGATTAAGAAGATAGTTAGTAGGAAGAAGGTTAGTAGAGAAGACTGATACGCGAGGCTATGGCGGGAATAGAGGCAGAGGGAAGGAAAGATCGATGGTACTACTCGATTCTCGTCGGAATCGATCAAGGAAAGAAGTAGGTCGGAGGTTCTAGGGTCAGGCGAGTTGGATGGTGGTGTCGGATTTCGCATTAAGGATGAGGCTTCGGCGGCGGGATGGTTTTCAGCTGCGCCCGGGGAAACAGTTTTTGCTTGAGCCTGTACCTGGTTGCGTTCATGTGGAAGACTCATTCTGACTTTTATCATCCTATCTGCAGGACTGGCTTGCGGACGTGATCGCGCGGTTAGCAGGGATGGGAAGAAGGACAGATAACTAGGAAGAGAGAGGGAGTACTTACCGGTTGGAATAGTTGTGGATGAGCCGGAGGACGGACTACGGTGTGAACAATATACGGGCGGGCGAACGAGCGGGAGCGGAGGTGCAGAATTACGGACATCCCCGCCAACTGCTACGCACCCCATCCCGTCGAACAGAGGGGAAGGAGCTATAGGGGTGATGACTTACCTGCTATCTGACGTGCCGCCCGTCGGAGTCAAGGAGGGTGAAGTCGGGTAGGAGGCATCCTATGGAACGACGGGCTGCCATCTCGTTGGCTGCAGCGCAGGAGAGGGGGGGGGGCTGATTGCTGATGCACAACCCTCAATGTTGGGCAGCGAGTGTCAAGTGACCCATTCGTGACCGTTTCACTAGGTCAGAGGTGATGAACTAACCTACATCAGGGGTACGGGCATGGCGGGAGTAGATTGGAAACGAAAGCTGAATGCATCTTCCCGCACCGGAGCAAGAGATTCATTCTCCTTCGTTTTGCATTTCTGGCGGGTCAGGTGGCGGATTTATGAGCCAGACTGGGCAGGAAACTATGTCGGACCACTGCAGTAAACGAGCCCGTTCCGGTCGACAAGTCCTCTCGGCCCTGCTGTATGTATGGCCATAGCTGCGAGTTGGGGGCTTACCTATGGGCTGACGAACTGCCTGCCTTGACACACGAAGTTCCTGAAGGCCAGCCAGGAAGGTGCAAACTTGTTTAACGGTCGATGCGTGGCTCAGTTTGCCGCACAGAGGAAGAAAGGGGCATGAGGGCATCCTTAGTTGGGTTGCAATATTGCCTTCTGACTAGTATGTTACTTACCGGTAGACAGAAGGAATGAGGAGTGAACTGAGAGACTGTCAGTCCTACCTGCCAAGTTGTAAGCCGCCCATTCCTATAGCCAAAGTAACTGAGAATCAACCGTGGAAAGACCGTCCTGCCTGTTAGCTGGCTTGCTGCACCTGTGGT